CTGACTTGGAGAGATACTGGTTTCTTGCTACATGGCAACAGAAAAAGAGAGGATGGTAAGAGCTACAAGCCAGGCCAATGACAAGGTCTTTTCAGCTGCTTCCGATGGTAGTCAGCCAGCTGATAAGTTATTTGGGCCCCATGAAGGGCCTGAGTGGGGTGGAGACACCAAAAGGAGGTTATAGTTCCAGGCCATCTCAGTGGGCATGCTCAAGGGCATACATATGACATGGATTATGACAGGCTCAGAACTATCAGTCACAGCTCTGATGAAAATCCAGCAGCTTTCCAATACTGGTTTGAAGAGGGCCAAATTATCCTGGGACTGTATTTTATTAGCCAGTCAGCTCCAGACATTAAAAAAAAACTAAAAAATCTCCAACAGGGCCCACAAGCTTGGATAAGTCAACTGGTCAATGTGGCTTACATGGTCTTTAATATCTGAGACAAAGACGACAAATGCGAGTTGAGTAAGGAGAAAACACAAGCTAAAGCCATGCTGGCTCTAATGGACAAGGCTTGTGATAAAGCCTATGGCACCAAGGGGAACCAACGCAATCCAAAGGGTGATGGAGGTAAGTCTGGGTGCTTCAAGAGCAGGCGACTGTGGCACAGGGCAAAGGAGTGCCCTCAAAAGCTGCAGCCTCCTTGAGGAGCCTGTCTGAACATGGATGAGGACCCTTGGCACTAGAGGAGCAAATTGCATTCCTTATTGCAATGAAGGTGTCTTATTCAGTTCTAATGTCTTACTGGGGCAAATTATCATTCCATTCCTCAGCTGTTGTGGGTCTTGAAGGAGTTTAATTGGTCAGTTTTCTTTAATCACCCCTTCAGCCTCTGGTTGGGCAATTTCCTTTTCCAAGCTGCCTTCATGGTAATACCAAAATGCCTCATACCAGTAATTGGAAGAGATATATTTTTCCTACTCAGGGCCGCTCTGTCATTCAAACCTCTGGCAATCCATGTCCTAGGTGCCAGGGACCCAGCCAACCTGGCTCCATTCCTCTGCCCGGGGTTGATCTCCAAGGGGGTATAAGGGCACCCCATGGTGAACTGTCAAGCCCATCCAGTAATCATTCAGCTCAAGAACACTAACCTATACGCTCACAAAAGGTGATACCTCTCCCACCTTAAAAGACAGGCTAGACGGGATAAAGCCCATTACTGATAAATTTTTGGCTATTGAGTTTTTGATGCCAGTCCCAGTGCAACACACTCATTTTACTGGCAGTCAAGCCATAAAGAGAATATTGCCTAGTACAAGATCTCCAAATTCTCAGTGAGGCAGTGGTATCTATTCACTGCCCTAGTAGTACACCCATTCACGCACCTTACCCAGATCTCAGGAGACACTAACCGCTTCTCAACGACGCCTTCTTTTCTGTCTGTGGAAACTAGCTCTCAAAACTGTACTGTAATTGTTAGATTCCCATTCCAAGGTAAAACCCAAGCCACCCAAGGCACTAGAAAGTGAAGAATAGAGATCACAAATTTGGTACACCTGCAAACTAGTGGATGGCTTCAAGTTTCTTTTCAAAAAAGAAAACCAACCAATCTTCTGAGTCAGACAAGTAAACTTTTGTTCCCTCTAAATAAAAGAGAAAATCAGCCCCATCCTGGAAATAGGGTCCCTCCTGTGTGTTTTGTGTAGCTAGTTTTGCTACTCTCTTGCTCGCCATGACTCATTCTTGAGATCCTTACCCAAGTTATAAAATGACTTCTTGTTCTTATTTTTCTTTGGATCCTCTTTGGTGGCTCAACAATTGCCTCCAAGGGAGATAATAAGCAGTGATTATTTACATAGAACCTTAAATCTAAGCCTTCTCTTATTAAAGTCTACTCACCACAACTTAGCCAAGCACTGTCGGCTGTGTCTTTCCCCATTCTCTAGGCAATATACTACTGTGCCCACTCCAGGTCAATTCTGAGCTACTGGAAAGATGACCTACCACCACAAATATCAAGGGGTTTCCTTCTTAATTAATGTGCTTAGATAACCTATATGATTTTCAGGTCAGGGTAACCTCAACAGGGAAGGCTGATACCCTCTTTAGATACCAACAGAGTAGTTTTCATCAAGTTTCTTCTACAAAACCACCCATTAGGGCCAATATCCACTCACACATTACTTAAGTTCCAGGAATCCCTTTGTATAAAGAGGACTCAAGACTGGGGCCTGGGTCAAGGTTTGGGCACATTAAAGACTTCCTCTACAAACAAATGCTAATGATACAGCCTTCACTGGATCATGCCAGTATCCAGGTAAACCAAGCTGCATCCTTTAAAAAACCTAGTGTGGTCCTCACAGAAGCCATCCCTAGACACACAAAGGTGAGGAAATAGGGTTTCAAGTTATTGTCAAGGGAGGCCCTCTATATTCCCATGGGAAGACTGCTCTTAGCCCACGACCACTGACTATTTGCTGTTGCCATTAAGAAAACAACTGAACAAATGTCATTGGATACCAAAAGAAATTTCACACATTGGAAAAATAAAACTATCAGAGTTACTCCCGATACTTCTTATAGGTGCTTGCAGCCTTTGACTGGAGCTACATTGGCAGGGACTGTATCTGCGAAAATGAAAACAATCAGGGAAAATATGTTTCATACTGAAAATAATTTCTGTCTTGAGACTCAGGGATTTTCTTCCTGTGTGGCACTAATTCCTACTTGTGTCTTCCGGCAAACTGGACAGAAATATATACCCTTATTTATCTGGCCCCAGAGATTCACATAGCACCTAAAAACCAATCCCTTCCAGTTCCTTTAGCCACTGGGACTTCCTTTGACAAGGCTTTTATTAATGCTTCTCATAACCTTCATATTTGGACTGTGCATACTTAATCTCTTAGTCAGCTCTGTTTCTTCTCACTTAACAGCTGTTAAATTACAGGTGATCCAAGCCAAGGACCAAAACCCACATTCATATCTACAGTTCATCAACAAATCCTCAGAGGAAGAGCATGGCTCCCTCAGACCCCTAGATCAAGCAGGGCAAGAGCGCCACGGTCCCTGCATAGGTAAAGCCAGTGCGCCTATGCAGCAGGAAGCAGCTTTAGAAGACGGACATTCTATCCTCAGCACCCCTCAAAGGTTCTCAGAAACCGGGTCTCTTGGGGGCATAATATAGGTAGTATAATTGGGACTGAGACCACTCACTTCCAGTCAGTGAACCTGTGCAACACCCCAGGGCCAATCCCCTGACCTTTGTCCTTAGGTCCACTACCCAGAGGCAGAGAAAAGAAAGACAAAGACCTCTGGCCTGCCTTGAAATATTCTGAAGTCCCAAACCAAGAAACATATGCACCAGATTCTCCAGCATGACCTACAGCTTTTGCAATCCAAAACCCACTTATTTATCGCAAAGGGTGAGCACTGCAGTTAAACTTAAACAGTGAGGTTTTAGTTTAGAAAGAACAACCGTAATCCAAGTTCAGCAACTTGGCTCCCATGCTGACAGAGAGCTCTGCGTGCCTGTGGTGGCGTGTGTGTCTATGGTGGCACACATGGCACAGGTTCACCACCGCTGACCTATAATAACCGTTCTGCACTTTAAGCTCATTGAAGCTTCTGCATCTCATACATCTAATTACAACAGAGTGAGTTATGGAGGATTTGCTCAATAGATACACCTGGCATGACTCAGCACCTTGTCAATCACATTGTCAGTCACACTCTGGACGAGCCAATGGGAGGTGCCCTGGACCTAATACAATATTTTAAATTCTTAAACCCAACATCTTCAGCACTCCTGCTACTTTCCTTTCCCCTGGGAGGAGCCTGCTCACTCTGTACATTGCCTAAATTAAACTTTGCTGCATTTTCCTTACTGTCATTTACCCTTTCCAATTCTTTGCTTATTGTGCACAAGAACCTAGAAACCCATCCAGGACCCATAGCAACATCAGCACTCTGGGAGGCTGAGGCAGGAAGGTCACAGATTTAAGCCCGGCCTGGGTTACCCGGCAATAGCAAGATGCTGTCTCAAAATTTTAAAAAAGGGGCTGGAATTATGATCAGTGAAAGGGGCGGGGGCATGGGTTTAGTGGAAAAACCTTCGGCTCACTTCCCAGTGTGGTGATTAAAAAGGAGATGGATGAAGAGGAGGAAGAAGAGGAGAGGGATCCTGGGAGGGCAACAGACACCTCCACTCCCCGATGTAAGTCAGTCTCAAAACACTGTTAACCTCTGCTGACTTTCTGTACAACAGGCTCCTCCAAAACTACCAGAAATTGAGACCACACTCCTTTCCTTTCTTACAGATAGCTGAACTTTTAACAACACTGATCATAATTCCAGCAAATAAGTGATCTAATTTCTAGCCCTCTTGCAGTTTAAAGCTATAATTGCAGCTGCCATTTTGTAAAAGCTCAAAGCACATTTTCAAGATTGCTTGAATTGGTATTTTCCCAGATAGCAATCCTAACTGGCCCCACATAAATATAATTTTCTGTGTTCTCAACTAGGGTTTTTATTCTCAGTGAACACTGCACGTCGCAGATATGCTAAATTTTCTGTCTAGCTTTGAATGTTCATGTCACACTGGCTAATTTCAGTCAGTGGCTCAATACAGAGCTCTACCTCACAGTGTCTCCCACCCCTGGTCACAGGTGACTAGCTCTTCAGGTTCTACCAACTTTATTTCCCAGAAAGTTTCCATATTATTGTCTACACAGCCACCCTCTCCCACTGGAAAGATGTAAATTTCCATACAACAGGTTGTTTGACCCCTTCATGCTTGCCAAATTACTGCTTTAAGACTATAAAGTACACTTTTACCCAGCTAAGAAATGTATTTGCTACGGGGCTGGGGATTTAGCTCAGCGGCACAGCACCTGCCTGTCAAGCGCAAGGTTCTGAGTTTGATTCCCGGTACCGGAAAACAAACAAACAAACAAAAAACCAAACAAACAAACAAACAAAAGAAATGTATTTGCTAAATAAGGAAAAGCTATTAAACATCCCTGTAATAATTATATTTAAAAATTAGCCTACTCACCAGGATGGTAGACAGAGATGACCTGAACATATTCTGAAACACAAATATTTTCATTACATGCTACTAAGCTCAGATGTGAATGTCCGCTTCAGTCTTTTTAAAAAAAGACAGTCTTACATGTAGTCTGAGCTGGGCCTGAACTCAATATGTAGTCTAGGCTGGCTGCTAATTCACAAAGATCCTCCTGGCTCAACCTCCTGAATGCTGGGACTAGAGCCATGCCTGGCTCTTTGGTCTAATTTTAAATGCTTACTAATAAAGATTTGAGCTGTCTTACATTTAATAAGCCTATTAAATATGGTTATTTTAAGAAATATAAAATTTCAATTCAAAGACAAATGATAAGGATGCATTTCATGTTTTAGGTGTTGTACTGGGGTTTGAACCCAGGTCAGTCACACTGAGGTACATTACATTCCTAGCACACCTCATCATCAGGCTGTTTTTTTTAAAATTTTAAGACAGGGTCTTGTTAAGTTGGTAATTTGCCCAGGCTGGCCTCTGACTTGTGATCCTCCTCCCTCAGCCTCTCAGAATGATGGGATTTCAAGGTTGTGCTATTATGCCTGGATGGATGCATGTTAATTACATGGAGCATTCACAGGAAAGCTAGCCTTAGGAAGATAGTAGAAATATACTTGTGATTTCAAACTTTGTAGTAAAGGAATCCTCAAAAAGTTCCATTGAGAATATGCATCAATCAACCCGGGTGTGGTGGCGCATGCCTGTAACCCCAGCTGAGGCAGGAGAATCGCTTAGAGTTTGAGGCCAACCTGGACTACACAGTGAACTCAAGGCCAGCCTGAACTACAGAGCAAGACCTCCCACCCACCCCCTCAAAAAAAAAAGAATATGCAGCCATCAAAGGCATTTTCTGGAAACTCTGTTTCAAATCTATCACACCCATTTGATAATGCTGTTCCTAAATAATCTTAAAATTTCCTGTCTTCCTTCCCAAAAATTTCCCATAGTCTTTCTTCCAAGAAAGATTAATTTTTGTTATAACCTATTTTTGTTTGGGGAAGCTGAAATAGACCATGCTACCATTCTGTCAACCCACCCTTCACACATAAGGCACTTTCATTCCATTCCTTCATTAGTCCCTGGAATGCTATTTCCTAAGATAGTTTTTTGTCTAGGGAGTTACAAGGACTGGCCTAGGAAACAGAGGTCTGTTGTTATCACAAAAAAGGAAAACATCCCTGTGAATAATAGAAATCACTATTGAGCCTGGATGCATGACTCCGAACATATCTTCCTTGTCTATTACCCCACCACTTTCCTTCCCTCCCCTCTGAAGATGAGGCTCTGACACAACAGCCTTCCCCCAACATCTTCTCAGAGCGACAATCCTAGAATAAACCTTATTTCCTCCTGCCAGCTTGTGTCCCCTGAGTACTGACTTTCCTGCTGAGGGTAAATGGACTTGGGTCCAATAAAAATAGCACAATTTAGCCTTGAGAAAACAATGGTTGCCAGTAAAATGGTGGAGTGGCTCTGACCCATAATTGTGAGAAATAACACTGATAAAATTGCCACTGCAGAGATAATACTTTAGAGCATATCTTACCTAGGTTCTCAGCACAATTTTCACTCTTCAGTCCTGAAATACAAAGATAAAGTTGGTAAGTTAGATGTGATGTACTGTAGTAAAGATTTCAATTAATCTTGCCTATTGGTAACTAATTTGTTAACTCCTCATCTATCAGGCCCATAATTTAGTCAGATGTAAACTGTAGAACATTAATATTTTGTATTCATAGAACAGCCACCAAACAGCTGTAAGACCTTTGAAAAACTATTTAATTTTTCTGAAATTAAATTTCCTTATCATTATCTTTTACTTTTTACATTACCTTTTACAATAACCTTTGAGGGCCCATGGAGGGCTAGCACTGGTATTCTATTCTATAGTCAGAATACAAAAGGGATGACATTTACCTGTCCCACTAATCCTCTCTTTAGATAATAAATGTTATCAAACAAACCCATCCTTCTACTCTGACAATTCCTATCCTTTGGAGAAAAAGAATCTCAATCATATTTTCATGATCTCTTAATATACAAATAAGCATCTTTCATATTCATATAGAGAAGCAGTTGGGAAGCCCCCAGAAAATTCAGCTGTATGTGAGGAAAGCCACAATTTTTGGAGAACTGGAACAGGACATTTACTAGTACCTTTATAAGGATGTAGACATTCTCATTGGTGATATCCTAGAAAAAGTCTTTAGTACTATAATCCCTGTGACTTGACAGGAAGGGAAATCTTCCCGCTTGACCAAAAGCAAAAAAAAAAAAAAAGAAAAAAAAAGGTGAGAGAGTATTTATACACTAGATGATTTCCTCATAAACTAGACATTGCAGAGAAACGATTTGTTAACTTGGACACACAGTATGGTACACAGGACACCACCTTCCCAAGACATCCACAGCCTGATTTTTACAACCTGTGAATATAGTACTTCACATGGCAAAAGGGAATTAAGGTTGCAGCACAAATAACCTTGCTATTTGTTGACCTTCAGGTGGGGTAATTGTTCTGGATTACGCAGGTAAGCTCAGTCTGATTACATCGTGCTTAAAAGCAGAAGGCACAAGAGGGTGTCAAGAGATGATTATGAAGAGAATTCAACATGGCTGTTTCTAACTTTGCTGATGAATATGGAAGGCTACAGGAATGCAGACAGTCTTTAGAAGCTGAGAAAAGCTGAGAAACAGACTTCTTAAATAAAGCCTCCATAAAGGAATGTGGCCTACTAGCAGCTTAATTTTAGCTCAGTGACACGCAGGCAGACCACTAAAATACAGAACTGTAAACAGTTTGCATTGTCTTTAAGCCATTACATTTGTGATTGATTCCAGAAACAACAGAACACATACAAAAGAAAATATCTACAATGAAACAAAAAGCCTCGTAAGAACAAAAACAAGAATAACTGAGTTGTGGGACACTCTCCAAGCCACTTTGTACATTCATATATAAATTGAATCCATAAAGGAAGGGAGAGAACACACTGGGGTTGTAGCTCAGTACAGTGAGCTGAAAAAAGTGGCAACAACCTACATGTTCATTAGCAGGTACACAGACAAATTATAGCATATCCCTATACTACAAAAGAATGGAGTGAATCTACTGATACATGCACTTGGCCCTTAGAAGGGGAGGAATGAAGGAGGGGTGAAAAGAGTGTGAAGAGACAATGGCCAAACTTCACAAATTTTATGAAAACCACAAACCATTGAGTCCATAAAGTTCAATGAACTCCAAGCACAAGTACTAAGAAAACTACACTGAGACACATAATAATCAAATTGCTCCAAACAATAAACTCTGTATCTGTGAAAAAGAGAAAATCTTAACAGCAGAGCTTTGGGAAGCAGGGACACACTGATTAGATAAAGAGGAACAAAGCTAAACCTTAACCCTTTAAAATTTTAAAATTCATATGAAAACACAAAGAATTTATAATCATCAGAACTTTGTGGGCCAGGCATAGTGGCACATGCCCATAATCCCACTAATCTGGGAGACAGAAGCAGGAGGATAGTGAGTTTGAGACCACCACTGGCAGCAGATGGAAATGCTGTCTTAAAATAGAAAAGGGCTGGGGATGTGTAGCTAGGTCCAGGTTCAAACCCCAGTATGAGAGGGAGGGGACACCTGGCTGGCCAACCAACCAACCAACCAACCAACCAAGAAAAAAAAAACCCTAACAACTTTGCAATAAAAGAACAGCTATAAGACAAGTGATACCTGGTTTTTAGGTTTATTATAAAGCTATGGTTTTTAATATTTGTGATGTTTTCATGAAGACAGACAAATCTTAGTGCAATACAAAGTTTAGTAGTAGATTCACACATACATGGGCAGCTATTTTTTGACAAGAGTACAAATGTAGTTCAATGGGAAAAAGGGTAGTCTTTTTAAGATTAAACTTTGACACATATGTCATATGTAGTATCATATAAAAATTTACAAAGACCCAAATATAAGAGCTAAAACTAAAATTTCTAGAAGAAAATATCCCAGAAAATTTTTGTTATTTTGTGTTTAACAAAGATTTGTTAGCTATATTACAGGAAAGATCCATGAAAGAATAAGGTGATAAATTATTCTCTGTTAAAATTTGAAACATCTGGCTCGGGGAGCCTCAGGTGGGGAGCGC